CTCGCCCGCCCCCCCCCCCTGCCAATCTAGACGTTCTTTTCCGCAAATGCTTTTAACGGAAAAACTTTTCCATTAAAAGCATTTGCGGAAAATCATGCCAATCTAGACGTAGCCTTTGAGTCTGAGACTGCACACAGGTCGTTTGTCAGAGCAGTGAAACCTGCGAGAGACACCAGCCCAGCCTCCTGCAGAGGGCCCCCCCCATAGTTTGAAATGGCTGAGCACCACGGACGTCTTAGCCACCGCCTCGCTGAGCTCAGTGTGCCGAAGGGCACGCTGGGACGTGTAGTCCTTACATGGGCACAAGGCCGGCTGAGACCTCTCGCAGCCACCGACTGCAGTGCATGCTGGGACGCCTACGCGCCGTGCATGCTGGGAGTCGTACCTGCAGAGGGCCCCCCCCATAGTTTGAAATGGCTGAGCACCACGGACGTCTTAGCCACCGCCTCGCTGAGCTCAGTGTGCCGAAGGGCACGCTGGGACGTGTAGTCCTTACATGGGCACAAGGCCGGCTGAGACCTCTCGCAGCCACCGACTGCAGTGCATGCTGGGACGCCTACGCGCCGTGCATGCTGGGAGTCGTAGTCCCCGCCAGCTGCGGGAAACTCAACAGAGAGGGGACAGGGGTCACTGCACCCCCGCCATCCCCTCTCGGCGCCTGCCGTCAATGCAGGCCGGGAGAGCTTACCTCAGCCGCCATGACCCCCGGCTAAGCGGTGGTGGCCAGCACCCCTAACGCTGGCTGCCCCTCAGGAGTCCCCAGGTCTCCTCAGCTGCTGCCGCCACGCGCTCTGCAGCAGCTAGCCCCGCCCCCCACCTCGAACCAATCACAGCTCGTGCTCTGCCTTCAGCCTCCGCCTTACTCGGCTCCCTAGTGGATGACTGGCCCGCCTTGCAGGTCTGCGAACCAATCGCCATCCGGCTCTGAGCCTGAGGGGGGCCCCGGCTGTGCCAGCATCCCATTGGCGCCTCACCGCTGTCAAGTCCCTCCCGGCTCGCTCATCGCCTCGTCTGCTCCGAAGGGATAGAGGGGCCCGCTGGGCCTGAGCCGCTCTAGCCGCACATCACGCAACTCGGGGCTAGTGACCCTGGCCAAATGGGATGGGGGCCGCAGTGCATGCTGGGGGCTGCCTGGTTTGGGCCTCCCTCTGGGGGCCCCAGGCTGGCCTGGGCCAGCCCAAGTTCACAGGGGCCTTCCACTCTTAAGGGCCCTGTGCTAATGTTATTGCTAGTGCTGGACCCCCCCATCCTCTCCGCCCCGGAGCCCTGTGTCCTAAACCCGCTGTGGAGAGCCAAGCAGGACAGACCCCCTTCCAGTCCAGTGCCGGGCGGCGTCTGCTCTTTCTGCCCGCGCAGCCTGCTGCCAACGTACAGCCGCCCCCACCTGCGTGCGTCGCCCCTCGACTTCTTGAACTGGACTCCTCGAAGGGCAGGACTGCGCGACGGGCCAGCTCGACGGGGCCGCAGCGTGCGCTGGAAGCTGGGGTTCTGTGCCGCGGCTCAGGAGAGATTCAAATGCTGCCCTGCTGACGAGCAGAGCCCCCACCCACTAGGTTTTTGTGTCTGCTGGTGGTAGGAATCATAGAACCATAGAGCTGGAAGAGACCTCAGAAGGTCATCAAGTCCAGTCCCCTGCTCTAGGCAGGACCAATTCCAACTAAATGACTAATCGATTAGTCGATGTAAATGACTAATTGATTAGTCAACTATCCGATAAGCAAAAGTTTATCAGATCGTTGACACATTAGTTGACTTGTCGCTTCCCCCCACCTTGCTGCCTCTGTCAGAAAGGGGCAGTAAGACAGGGGAGAGGTGTGGGTGTTGGGGGGAGCTGGTTTAAAAGCTGGTTCCCCCCAGCTCCATGGGAGGGAACAAGAGCACAGCGGGGGCGTTCCACCTTTGAAATGTACAAGAGTCCCCACTGGCCCTCTTGTATATTTCAAAGCAGAAGCGCTGCAGGGATCCTGGGGCCAGCGGGAGATTCAGAGTCCCCCACTGGCCCCAGGCTCCATGTGGTATTTCAATCTTTGAAATGCACAAGATCCCCTATGTACATTTCAAAGGTGGAACGCTGTGCAGCACTTCCACCTTTGAAATGTAGCAATAGCCGGGAGCGCTCTTGCTACATTTCAAAGCAGAAGCGCCCTTATCAACAAATTGAACAGTTGATTAATCTAATTTTAACATCCCTAGCTGGTGTTGCATATTTGCAAATGCATTGGTGCATATAAAATTTATTCTGCACATGGATAGAAAATATTAGAGGGAACATTGTCCAGCGGGTGTTAATAGACACAATAAATTGACCAGTGATCATTCTTCTGTCAACTCTATAGACATCTATATGGCTCTACCAAGAGTTCTTCAGCAATCTAAAAATAAAAATGGAATTCTACAAAAAGTGGAAACATGGACAATTTGTTAAGAAGCCATACAAACATATTAGGATAAAATTAAGGCACAAAATAAGTTACATCTAACAAGGGCCATAAAGGGTAATAAGAAAAGGTTCTATAAATACATTAGCAAGAGAGGTGAAGGAAATACGTTCTCTTGTTAGCGGGGGAAGGACATCTAATAACAGTTGACAATAAGGCTTAGGAGTTTAATATCTGTTTTGTTTCACTTATCACTAAAAAGGTAAATTCTGGGGTATTTATGCCCCAGGACAATACCGTTATGTTTGGATTACATATATTCTAGTATTGCACCTTGGTTAATCTATTACATGGAAGCCCTGTTGTTACTAAATTCACTTTCTGCAGCTTCTGTAGTATCAGTTATTTGAATCAATCCTGTTTGGTATCTGGGAGCGAGGTTTTCAACAGTTATGGGTCTGTGCATTACATTTTGTTAGGAGCAAAAATTAATAATCACATTTCTTCTCTGGGTTTACAAACTATACTGATGGCTCTGCTTGCCTGATGAATTTGACAGATCTGCAAATTACATTGGTAATTATGTAAAAGCCACTTTGTGGGCAAGAACCAAGTTAGTAGCTGAAATGGTTTTATTTAAGTGACGTAATTGCAGATAGAGATACATATTTCAACAGAGTGTAAATACTGTTGTGGCCAATTAAGATTTCCCATTTGTCACTATGCTGCATACCATGGCCAAGGGAATTTAATGGTGGCAGCAGAGAGAGAACTGTGTTCCACAAGGAAATGCTGCAACCTCTCGAGCAAAAGGAAAACGTTTATTAGCTCTTAGCAATACAGGGTTTATGATACACATCAGTTCTCATTTTATCCAGCGGACAGCAGTGGTGCACACTCATCAGCAAAGTCATTACAAAAGCATTTTTAGACTAAAAGAAAAGCATGTAGTCACAGAAGCTGACATTTAAAATCCTGAGAATGCAGCTGAATCAATTATATAACATGAAGGCACATGTACTTGGTTGAATTTAACAAGCAGTTCAAAAGCAATTTTACATACTTAAGTACATGCTTATAAAGCAAAAAATAAATAACTTACTTTTTCTGATTCCTCAACACAACAGTGATCAGCCAGCCATTACTCAGCCAGCAAAATACAATTTTGTGCTAACATTTAGCAAAAACAACACTTAAGAATTTCAAAATTTAAAATTTGCAGAATTCATGAGAGTGTAAAATGATGACAACCAAAGCCTACCAAGCAAGCTTCACAAAGTATTAATCATGGTTAGTACATTAGTACATCGGTATACTGTAGGTTTTCAAATATTGGTCTAAATTCATTCTTGGTGTTACTTTTATTTTACAATGTAACAGGGACACAAAAGGAGATTCCTAGAATGATATGGTCAGAACAATTTTCAGAAAGCTCAGGTCCATTTGTAAAGTTTTAAAATTAAGAAATCTGATTAGATACAGCAGATCTGCCCATTCATTGATTTCTTCAAGAGAACTTTCTTCTGAAATAGGCCAGTTAGGAGACACAACATGGGGCACATTAACCCACAAAATCAGTTCATTCAAGAGACACCCACTGACAGGTCAGCATGCGAATGCAAAATTATTCATTGTCTTACAAAAGTATGTAGAATCAACTAGATAACCTAGCCATTGGCAAGCCTTAGTGCAGCTGTGCACTGGGAATGCCAGCTGATCTGCAGACACATCTTGGCCTGGATCTACAAAAGGATTTGGATCTTGTCTACATTACGTGGGGAATGCTTAGACACAATAAATCGATCTCCAAGTGTGCTTCCACTGATGCCAATACTCCACCAAGATGAGAAATGTAGCCAGCATCAACAGGAGAGCAGCTCCCCCTGACCTTACCTCACGCAAGACGCTGTGGTAAGTATGTCAACTTCAGCTCCACTATGTGAAGTACATCAACTGCACAGGTAAGTGTAGACAAGGCGTCACAGTGCCTATCTTTTAAGAGCCTCAAAAATCATAGGAACAACACTGTGACCCACACAGCTGCACACATAGACATCTGGGCTCTCTATACAATGAAGGGAAGGAGAGAGACGATCATTTTAAAATGCAATCCACAAAAGCCAGCACTCTATTGACTATAGACCTAAACTGATGACAGTGTGTGTTAAGCTCCACTTCTCTGAAAGATAGCTGAAGTTTTGACTGTAGCTACTTAGTGATCCATTACTGGGAAGCTGCTGCCTAGAGTCAGGCAGCCTAGGCACCTGTTATGGAGATGAGTTAGCTACTCTGCTGCCCTTGAGCTACAGGAAAAGGATGGAGGAAGAGGAGGAGATCATGTTAGAGTGCGTCTTCTCAGCTGTGAGATTTCAGGTTCAATTCCCACGGGGGTGGGGAAAGGAGACCCCTATTCAATTCCTAGTTCTCAGAAGACTTCCTGAGCTCTGGGATAATCTGGTGTGGGACTTCCTTAGTCTCTTCTGTTGAAGCTGTTCCACTGTGGATGCTCAGAGAAGGGCAACTGACCTAGGGCCTTAGCACTGAGCTAGAGAGTCAGTATTCCCTGAAAACTTAGATGCTATAGAGGAGTTGTTTTGTGGATCACAGTGGAGGGAAAACTAGGACTTACAGGTACCTAAACCTGAGACATAGGCACCCAAGTACCTTTGTAGTACTAGGCTCTGGTTTATTTGCTTAGCCATTTTTGGCAGAGATAACGTGGCTGTATGATTCTCTGTACTGCGTGGGAGTACATGCTAGAACATAGAGGTGGAGGGATGTGGCATGTGATCATTTCTCATCCAAGTTTCCCTAGCCATACATTTACTTTGGTATATCTAGCTTGCTTTACTTGCGCCAAGCCAGATGCCTGTAAAATGCTAATGGCTACATCTATACTGCTTACTTCTTGTGCACAAGCCTATGCAAATAGAGCACACATTAGTATATTATTGCGCTTCATTTGCATAATTATTTAGGGGCCGCTTTTGCGCAAGAGGTTTTTGCGCAAAAAGGAGCTGTGTAGATGCCTAGGGAATCTTTGTATCAAACACTCTTCAAAAGAGTGTTCCATAGTTACAGCAAGGGAGGCTCAGCTGTATTCCAGCCTTATATCTTCCTAGTATTATTTATATATAAAGAGATGTATGCTTGTTGTTTTACAGAGTGGTGAAAAGACAGGACTCCCTGCCCATGACAATGTTTAGTATAAACAGGCAACAATGCAGATGAAGGAAAGGAGGTGACATCAAATCAGCAGATATATTTCAGTGTTACACTAATTATTTATTATGAATTATTATTATTAATATTGTAGTAATGGAAGAGCATGCGGGGTAGCAATTACACCTCAAATTAGGGCGTATGTGGGACCTAAAGGGTGCATACACTGATGGTTGTGGACGATGGCACAG